TTGAGGATTGGGAATTCTACTATTAATCGCAACGTGCGATTTTGAGGATAATAGTGTAGGATTGTAATAGACAGGATTTTAAGAAATGGGATGTAGGTGTGGTCGCTATACCAGACCCACTGGAACACGGACCTGAAAATAATCAAATCAAGCTCATTCGTTCTATTGAGAGTTTCGTCCGTACTCGAATCGAGAGCGGCGATGCTCGGTCATCGAGTTTGGGATGAAACTCTACAGAACGACCTCTCGTCCAGACAACGGTTCGGCTCGGATAGTGAGTGGCGATACTCGGTCACCGAGGGACGTGCAGTTCCTCAACTAGGATCTTTCGCGGTTTTTGAATGTTTTAAAACGAAGACCCATCGTGACGCGCGCTCGCGTCTTTCCGGATTCGTCCGATAATCTGGGAGAATAACGTTTCCCGGTCTACTCGCGTTCGCGGTTCTAATTCAAGAGAAAGTTCCGTCCTCGGTGCTTCGCGATCGCGGCTCGTGGCCCCCTCTCCCTGAGGCCCCCCACCTACCCGCAGGTATTACCGCGCATGCTCGAATATCGCCGAATTACTGGTCCTAACGTACAGTGGCGCATGTTATCCACCTGACCCGTTACAATATATTTCTATTATTTCTATATAAATACGTGTGTGTGAACCCTATTGTATTCCCTTAGATGTAAGGGGATTCAACTTAAAGTAAGGGGAACAGTTGCGATTGACTTCAATGATTAAAATACCGAGGCACGCGAATTAACTGCGAATCGACCGCGAATCACTTGCGAATTAAACGCGAGTCGGACGCGACAACTAGATGTTGATTACGCTAGGAACGCGTCACGACGATTGTATTATTGGGCAAATTATTAGTCCGCAGGCAGAGACGCGAGAACGGTCTGAATCCGCGCGTAATAAAAGTAGTAAGCCGCGCGCCGGGGAGCCCACCACGTGGTCCCAGCGCCATTCATTAGCGGTCGATTAACAATAGTGGGTCCGGCCGGCCGCCGTGGGTCACGGCCTGGAGGTCGCGGCCCATTCACTCGATTAAGCGCGGCGGAGCGCCTCAACACATGGGACGCACCGGCGGGGGAAAGGGAAACCGGCCCGCGTGGCGCGAGACCACGCGGCGCCGAGGAGATTTAAAGGCCCGATAGGTATAAGACTGTCGCGATTACGGCAAACATAGCCGAGTAATAATGTTTTTAGTTAATAACAAATTGGGGGATGCGCCGCCAGTGTCCACGAGTCGTGCGATTACTAATCGAGCCGCCATCTAAATAATCCGACCATTTTCAGCGTTCTGCTATTATTAATAAAGAAGTTACAGAACCCATAAATCAAGCGCTGACAGATCGACACGTGCCACTGCAGTCGGGCCCGAAGGGAGGCGGCCGGCACGTGCCGTCCAAGGTTATCGAGAAATTTTGATCATGCAACAGGTGCAGCTAGACATTCCAATGCGATTTCCTCGTGAACGCATTGAGGTAATTAGATTCTGATTTCAGATTATGTATCAGAATCGTGAGGAGAACCGACTTCCCTCGCGAACGATTCCGATACGATATGTTAAAGCATAAATCGTTGACAGGTGTCAATGATTTATGACTTGATAAATCATTAACTAATGGACCGGCGACGCTATCATTTTAAGGCTAGATTTGTACTAAGGAAGGTATACGAACGCCCTAGTTGCTGATCGCGTAATGATCAAATTTGAGAATTTATTATAAACAATCGATCAAGAACCCGGTCGAATTCAAGTATGCGGGATTGTGCGTTCGTTGCGCAACGGGTAGACATATCGGTCCCCGTTTATAGAGTTTACAAAGTTATCTCCGTTTGAGAAATAAACGTCAAAATGTAAAAGGGGAGGGGGGCGTTTACAAGTTACAATTGTTAAACGAAAGCCTCCCCGAACTTCTGCCCTAGGGGAATTGAACCAGGGGGTTACACGAAGAACTTTGAGCTAATCGCGGAATCCGTGCGATTAGCGGTTTGGCTGTTGTCAAGGCCATCAATCAAAGTTGACAGGTCGCCTGGGTATATAAGGGGACTCGAAGCCACCCACATCAATTCGCAACCAGTAGCCATCTAAAGTTGCCGTCCGCGCCCCGTGGCCTATTGGTTCCCGGGCCGTTCAGAGCGCCGCGAGTCGAGTCCACGGGACTGAATACGGGGGATAAGTGTTAAAAGATTTAAAAATACGATCACTGTTGGAAGCCCCGACATATCCGAATTAATAAGAGTTGATAAAAGTTGAAGTAATAATTGCCGTCGAAAGTACGACGAGTTAGGTATTAGTGACTAGTACGTGGGAACAACGTTGCGAAGTGCGACGCCGCTGAAGCTCACTCGTTAAGGTCCGCGAAGTACCGTGTGACCGTTCGTTTGTTGATGACCATTGCGTCCTAATTGTTGTTGAATAAAGAGTTTAACGGAGTATCGCGTTGATTAATTCAACCCGAGTTAGAAGAATTCCTGGTCATCCGGAAGGTTCTCTCTCTTCGGATCAGCCCGAAGGGTGGACCAGACGACGAAGCGACTAAACCATACCTTGGTGTTTAATAGGTCAAAACACCTGGCGACCACATAAAAGGAAACGAAGTTCGTGCCTTCGCGGGACACCCGTGGCACACCAGAAGATTAATTATTTTTTATTGCAACTCATAATCAGAAGTCCGATAACTGAGGCTCCGATCAAGAACCTGCGCTGTCTCACGGGAAGCGACTACCGGCGAGGGTCCGGGGAAAAGTGTTGACCTCTCGTTGCAGGGAATCGGCTGACCTTAACCCCCGAGACTCGGGCCCCGCTAACCAGTTACGACCTAACCTTTTTTTTTTACGAGAATATCCCTGACGGACACCACCGCCTCCTGAGGGAGGGGCGGGGTGTCGTGCTTGCACCCAATAAAAACTCCTCGGTGGCCACCTTCCGCGCATTAGTGGGGGCCACGGGATCGGTTGCGGAACTGCGGCTCCCCCGCGCCCCGTCCGGTACCCGGGCTCGTCCCGGGGGGGACACAGCGTCCCCCCGGCAACGGTTGTTTTTCGCCGGCGGGGCGGGGCCACACCGTCCCGCCGGCACCTCTCGGGATCGCGTTCAATGGGGTCCCGAGCCCTCACCTTGGACCCCTGCGACCCCCGCGACCGGCCGTGGGAACCCCCCAAAAGTGGGGGCTGTGACCGAGCCGCCGCTCCCGGGGGTCGGCGTGCAATGGGGACTACCGTCCTCTGCCGACCCCGGCGGCGAGGGCTGCAAACGGGGCCAGGTACTCGTTCCCCCGGCCCCTCACCATCACCGCCACTGGAACTCACTCAAAAAGTGAGGAGGGTGTGCAGCATCCACCGGGGATGTAGCGGAACGTACCGCCATCCCGGGCGACGATACCCCCTGTCCTTCCGGGTCGGGCTGCTCCGCGCCGCTCCTGTGCTCGAATGGGCCAGATCCGTCCGGTGCGCGGGGACCGTTAGACGGCGGCGACTTCCATCGCCACCGCTGTTCCCCCGCCCCCCGAGGTCACCGGAGCAGCCACCATTGTCGGACCGGTCGCCGGGGGAGCCGTTCCTTCCATCAAGCCCTTCCGGGGGGGGGGGGGGAGCGCACTGTGCGCTCCCCAGCCTAAGCGCGCCGGCCGCTCTGCGTCCGAACATATCGAACACTTGGGCGGGGCCGCGCACCGACTCGGTTTGTGTCCCGGGTCTCCGCATAGATAGCAGAGCCCGGAGCGATCCACACCAATGCACCGCTGCCTCACGTGCCCCTTTTCGAGACAGCGAAAACACTGGAGAGGGCGAGCGGCCAGGACCTCCACTTTCGCTGAGGTCCACCCTACCCGAACCCTCCCGGCGACAGCAAGCTTGCGCGCAGCCGCCACGGGGCACTGCACCCAGATGGTGCCCAGTCCGTTAGGGGCGGACTGGACTTCGCGGATTTTCACCTCCCCCAACGGACATTCTCCCGCCGCCGCGACCTCCTTCGAGGGGACGGAGTCCTCCAAACCCCGAAGGCGGATCTCCGCCCTATTGGTGGCTCTGGCAACCCGCACCTCCGTCCCCCCGAAAACCTCCCTGAGGTGGCCCTCCAGGGTCTGTGCCTTTTTGGCTCCCTCGGGGCCGGGGATCCCCAGGATAAGGCCCCCGGTTACGGCCCTTTTCAGCTTCACCTCCTCTAAGCCGATGTCGGTCAGCCGGATTTTCTCCTGGGTGGCCGACATCACCTACCCGTACGTAAAGCTCCCCGCCGTCGGGACCAGTCAGGGTGACCGCCGCCGTTCGGAGAGGGCGCGGCGGGCGCGGAGCGGCTTTCTTGCCCGCTCGAGGCGCCTGAACTGGCGGTCGCGGGGCGGGAGCTGGGGCCTTCGCCCCACCCTGCTTCGCCTTGCGGTCCACCACCGTTGCCCACGTCTCCTACCGCGGGCCCCGGGCATCTCCCGGAGCGGACGCAGCAGGCGTCTTCGACGCCGTCGAAGAGAGGAGCCACCCCGCCGGCGCTCCACTGGCCTTCGGGGCACTGTTGGCCCTGACCTTGGTTACCCTTGCCGCTTTAGGCGCCCTTGGCTTCCGCGGCTCCTTCGGAGCCTTAGGCGCCCTTAGCGTCCCCGGCGCCGGCACCGTCCCCATCTCCTTCCGCGCCTCGGTGGGCGTCGCGGTCTCCATTTCCGCGGGAGCCGCCTCCTGCCCCTTTACAGGGGGGGGGGAAGAGCCCCCACTCGCAGATCTGCGGGTCCACGAGGTCCCCGACTCTCTGCACAAGCAGTTCCTCGGAGACCTCGTCGGTGGATCGGCCGCCCGTCCCGCCGCTCCTGCTCGCGCGCGGTGCCCCTGATGGAACAGGCATAGCGGCTTTCCGGAGGGTCTCGACCTCCTCCCGGAACCGGGCCATCTCCTTCTCGAGGTCCTTCACCCGGCTTCTCATCCGGGTGTTATCCCTCTCCAGGCGCTTCACCTCGCCGTCCGCGGTGGTTCGCAACACCAACTCGGCGGTGTTGGCGCTCACCTTCTCGGACGCTTACAGCAGGCACCTCTGCAAGGAGGCCTTGAGGCCGGAGGAAGCGCCGGCAACACGCTCCACCGCCGTCGACTCCTCGAGGGTCTCCGCCCCGAGGGCCGCGTAAGGCTGGTGACGCGCCCTCTCCGCCAGCTCCTCCGTGAACGGAAGGGGCTCGCTCGACCAAGAAGGCGGCTTCGGCGGCCGCGTCCGGTAGAAGAAAGCCTCCTCCTGGTCCAATTCCCATTCCTGGAGACGCACCTCCAGGACACGGCTCTTGGCCTCAGCGTGGCCGACGTATTCCCCCGTAGTGGGGGGTCGGCCCCGCTTGCGGCGCTGCCGGCCCTCCAGGAGCGCCGCCAGAAAGGAGGCGTCGGTATCCTTCCCGTCGTCAAAGGAGGACTGCGACGCCCCGCCCTCCGACGGGGCGAGCGAAGCGTTGGACCCTCTCTACATCGCCTCATCTTCGAGCCTGGCCACTCGCACGACCGGACTGCGAGTTCCGCTCCCTCTCGGGCTGGGCAGAGGAGTGCTGGGGTCGGAGCTCCAGCCCCCGTAGTCCGAGCCTATCGCCTCCTCTCTCTCGCCCGAAGGCCCACCGTCAGTTTTTGGGTTAATTTTATCCATTTGATTCCCACGAGCACAGCGGGAAATGTGCGTCACCACGGCCAGAGCCCCCATTGCACCGTGGAAGCCTGATTACACCCCGGGGTTCGGCAGGTGCTCCGGGGGTTGATCGCTTATGACTGAGCCCCCCCCCCTCAACCATGCATTCTTCGGCGCGCATCATACATTGAGATTGGGGTAACTTTTTATAGAGGTTTTCTTCCTCGTGGCCCGGGCGGTTAAGCCAAGGCACCCGGCCCCTCCGTGTCCGCGAGACATGTCCACGACAACACGAGGGGATTACGGTGTGACGGTGACGCCTGCGCCAAACGCTGGAACGCCAGCGGTATCGTTATCCCGTGTGCAACGCCTTCCGCCACGATACGACAGCTTGGCACGGGTTTGGTGCCCTCTCAGTCTGGACCCTCACCTTGAGCCACTCCGGCAAGGTAGGATCTGCCAGGGGCCGAAGCCCCCGCCGACACAGCCTCAGGGATCATTGACCCACGCAAGCTCCCTTACCACGACAAGGTGATGCACCACGAGGGGGTGACATGACCTTTTTTTTTTTTTTACGAGGAGAAAATCCTTGACGGACACCCCCGCCCGCGGGGTGGGACGGAGATAGTGTGGGGCTCGCACGCACTAAAAACTCCTCGGTGGCCGCCATCAGCGCAAAGGCGGGGCGGGGGCTACGGGATCGGTTGCGCAACCGCTGCCCTCCTGCACCATACTCGTTTACGGGCCCATCCCGGGGGGGACGGAAAGTCCCCTCAGAAAACAAATCTAATCTTGCCGACGGGGCGAGGCCACGCCGCCCCGCCGGCACCTCTCGAGATCGTGTGCAATGGGGCCCCAAGCCCTCACTCGAGACCCCTGCGATCCCCGCGGCCGGCCACGGGAACCCCCAAGTGGGGGGTCTTGACCGAGCCGCCGCTTTCGGGGTCGACGTGCAGTGGGGACTCTCGTCCCCTGCCGACCCAGGCGGCGAGGGCTGCAAGCGGGGCCAGGTACTCGATCCCCCGGCCTCTCACCCCCGACGCCTCGAGAGCTCATTTTAAAAAAATGAGCGAGCGGGGCGGGGCGCCTATCTGAAAGGTGGCGGAAGACTCGCCACCCCCGGACGACGCCGCCGCCCCGCCCTCCCCTGGCGGGCGGGATCGGCCATCTCCCGATCCCGCTCCGCGGCCTCCTTCTGCAGCATCACTTGCTCGCAGAAGGAGGCCACCGCCTCCTACGACCTCTCGTCGCGGGCCATCGCGCCGACGACGGCCGGCAACGAGAGGTCCCCACCGATTATTTGGAGCAGGACACGACGCTCCCCCTCCCAGGTGGGACACACCTCGAGGGTGTGTTGCGCCGTGTCCCGCTCCGCGTCGCAGTGATGGCAGCGCGCCGTCGCTTCCCGACCTATGCGACACAGGTACTCCCCGAAACACCCGTGTCCGGTGAGCACCTGCGTCAGTCGGTAGGTGTGCCTACCATGGCCACGGTCCAGCCAGCTATCCCAGCTGGCCAGCACCGCCCCGACCGCCCTGTACCCGGCAGAACCGGCTAACCGGTCCCGCCACTTGGCTCGGGCAAGACGTCGGGCCTGGAGCTTAATTGCCGCCTCGACCGCCAGCCCTAACGGGCCCGCCCCTCCCGGCGGAGTTCGCGGACGCACTGATAAACTGTCGCGTCCGCCTCCGCCTGGAGACCAAAGGGCAGGATACCCGCCAGGGCAGACGCCGCCTCGTGGGAGAGCGTGCGGTACCTGCGGACGACCCGGATGGCCAGCCTGCGCTGTAGCCGGCGCAGCACCTTCTTGCTGAGCCGGCTGACCCTCAGGTCGCCCGCCCACACCGGCGAACCATACAATAGCATGGACCGCACGATCCCCATGTAGAGGCTGCGTATCCTCTCGTCAGCCCATGACTTCTCAGAGGCCTGTACGCCACTGAAAGAGGCGCCACTGAAAGAGAAGGATCGGGAGATGGCCGATCCCGCCCGCCAGGGGAGGGCGGGGCGGTGGCGTCGTCCGGGGGTGGCGGGTCTTCCGCCACCTTTCGGATACCCCGTTCGCTCATTTTTTGGAGTGAGCTCTCGAGGCGTCGTGGGTGAGGCGCTGGGGAATTGAGTATCTAGGCCCGTTTGGAGCCCTCGCCGCCTGGGTCGGCAGGGGACGAGAGTCCCAACTGCACGTCGACCCCGAGAGCGGTGGCTCGGTCGCGGGGATCGCAGGGGTCTCGAGTGAGGGCTCGGGTCCCCACTGCACGCGATCCCGAGTGGTGCCGGCGAGACGGTGTGGCCCCGCTCCGTCGGCGAAGAACAACTGATGCCGGGGGGACGCAATGTCCTCCCCGAGACGACCCCGGATTCCGGGCGGGGCGCGGGGGGGCCGCGGTTGCGCAACCGATCCCGCAGCCCTCCCCTAATGCGCCGAGGGTGGCCACCGAGGAGTTTTTAGTGGGTGCAAGCCCCACACTACCCACGCCCCTCCTTCGGGGGCGGGGGTGTCCGTCAGGGATTTTCTCCTTGTAAAAGAAAAAAATGGTCAGGTCCCCCCTCGTGCTCACTACCTTGGCGTGGTGAGGGGGCTTGCGTGCTACAATGATCCCAGCGGCTATACCGGCGGAGGGCCGAGGCCCTCCGGCAGGTGCTACCATGCCGGAGCAGACATTGGGGGAGTAGCCAGACTAAACGTGAGCGCCCACACAACCTCCTCTTTTCTTCTCTTACTCTCTTCACTTTCTCTTCTCTCTTCTCTCTCCTCTTTTCTTCTCTTCTCTCGTCTCTCTTCTCCCTTCTCCCTTCTCCCTTCTCCCTTCTCCCTTCTCCCTTCTCCCTTCTCCCTTCTCCCTCCTCGATCCCGGTCCTCTAAACCCGGGCCTCCTTCCGCGTGCACTAGTGTTGCGGTGGGGAGCCGCGGGGCGTGACTGGTGGGTGGCCGGTTCCGCTCCGTCGATGTGGGGCGGGGGTCGGTCGTCGTTCCGGGGTGGCGAGTCTTCCGCCTCCCTCGGGGCGGCTCTGTTCTCCCGCCGAATTTCTCCTGTCGTGGCGGGGGTGTGGGGCCGGGGAAGACGTTCTCTGCCTCCGCTGGCAGCCCGCGCCGTTGGAGTCGGCAGAGCATGATAGTTCCATCGCACGCCGATCCCCGGGAGCGGCGGCGCGGACGCGCGCCCCCGTTGGGGGGGATCCCGCGTTCGGGCCGCATGGGTCGCGGGGGTCTTGAGTAGGGGCTCAGGACCCCATTGCACGCGACCCCGGGGGGTGCCGGTGGGGCGGTGTTGTCCCGCCACACCGGCAAAGTTAGAGGGGTTTTTCTTTTGGGGGGACCTTCTGTCCCTCCCGGGATGGGCCCGGAAACGGGCATGGCGCAGGGAGGGCCGCGGTTGCGTAATCGATCCCGTAGTTCCCCCTGCCTTCCGGATCCTAGCTAGGGATAGTTAGCTAGGGATAGGGATCAGGATCGTGGCGGAGGGCATTTCCGACGGGACAACGATACCGGCGGCGGCCTCGCTATATGCGGGGTCGTCACTGTCGCACCGTAACCCCTTCGTGTTGCCGAGGACATGTCTCGCGGACACGGATTGGCCGGGGACTTTGGCTTAACCGCCCGGGCCACGAGGAAGACAACCTCTATAAAAAATTACCCCAATCCCAAGGTATGATGCGCGCCGAAGGATGGCTGAGGGGGAGCTCAGTTGTAAGCGATCAATCCCCGGGGTACCTGCCGAACCCCGAGTCGTAACAATGCTTGCCCTGGTCAAGGCGGCTCTGGCCAGGGTCGACACCCAGCACTGACTTACTCGTGGGATGTCATGAAACAAAAAGTAAAGCCAAAACCTAAATGTAAGAAGGAGGAGGAGGAGAGGAGGGCTCTGAGCGTGGACGCTGCAACCAAAGCGGCAGCCGCGGCAGCAACGGTAGCGGGCAGCAAACCTAGGCAGCGGGAAGATCCGGAGGAACGGCCGATTAGAATATATCGGCCCGTCAACCGAATGGAGGATGGAGCTACCGTCGGGCCAACGGAAAGCGTTGCGGGTCCGTCAGGGACCTTGATGGAAGGGGAGGTGTCCCTCCCGAGGACACGGGCCCGAGTTAAGGGAGCCAGGACGGCCCAAAAACCGGAGAGACCCCCGAGTGCTTCAAGCACCGAGAGGGCCGAGTGTAGCTCCTCCAGTGACTCAGGAGGCTCGGGCTCCTGGGTCGGGAAAAGGAAAAGGCCCTCCCGTGTTTCAAGCGGGGCCAGCTCTAAGAGCGCCGGCGGGCCGAGAAACCGTGCCTCGGAGGCGGATAACATCCTAGGATACGGCGGGGAGAAGAAAGGGGTGGAGGGAGGGACGGAGGACGATGCCGCCAGCTGGAGCCTGACGGAGGCAAACGCGCCCCCCACTCCCGACAAGTCACTCCCGGGAGAGGCCGAGCCGACTGCGGAGTTCCGAGAGGGGCCGTCCCCCCCCCCCCGAGAGCCCCCGGGGGATGGGGAGAACGAAGGGACCACGGAGATCGAGAAGTGGAGGCAGAACCCCTAGGGGGCCCACAAGCCCTCCAGGTCGAGTAAAACGCTGCCGACAGATGAGGAGATCGCTGAGAAATTCCGGGAGAGGCCATCGTCCGATTTCGGGGTTATCATTTACGAGGCAGCGGACGTGATTGGTGGTGTCATAAGAAACTCCGGCCATCTTCAGGGCTCTTTTATTAAGGGGCTACGCGAGGCCGCCCAGAGGGCTAGAGTAGCCGGGTCGGAGCTTCACTCCAGGACGGTTGCTGGCACGGGCGCGGTGCTGCTAGCTCGGGAGAATCAGCAGCTCCGCGTCCACATCAAGGAGGCGGAGGCCCGAGCCCAGGGCATGGCGGCGGAGCTAGAGCAGCTCAAAGCCGCCACGGGCGGAAAGCTGGCGGCGACAGATGCATCCGCTGGAGGGGCGGGGCGGAGACGGCCCCCCCTCCGTGCCGGCGCCGCTGGCTAGGGAAGAGGGGACGGACGGGCGGGGCTCGGAGCTCCTTACGGAGGTTTGGGCCCTCATGAAAGAGGCCCTAGCAGCCCTTACGTGGGAGCTCCTCGCGGAGGTTCGGCGCGGGGACGCTCCTCCCGCGGGCCCCCCGACGACTGGTCCCCCGGAGCCCTCGCGGGCTCCCGGCGGGGCTACTGGAGGCCGGCCCGGGGGCCGGAAGAAGAAGAAAGGGAAGAAGAAAAGGGGGGAGGGGCCGGTCAGCCGGTGGCGGCGGCTCCCCCTCCCGCCCAGAAGAAGGGCGGGACTCGACCCCCCCTCCAGGAAGAAGATAGGGGCGGCCAGGTGCCGGGCGCATTCGGGGCGCGGGACGGCGGGGAGGTTCTCCGACCGGCCGGGGGATCGGGTGTAGTCCCATGGTCGCTGGTGGTGGGCCGAAAAGCTAGAAAGGGCAAGGAGGGCGATGGGATACCGCCCTCCAAACCCACGGGAGGTGGCGGAGGCGCGGGTGGCGGGGTCCGGCGCGAGGCCCAAGCCAAGGCCCCGTATTCCGCGGCTTCCCAAGGATACGCCGGTGACGATTACCGTCCTGCCGGGGGCCTCCACCACATTGGTGGAGGCAATGGATAAAAAGAGGACGGGGGTCTCTCCCTGAACGAGCTGGGGATCCAGGGGGGACTCCGTCCCCGCAGGGCGGTGACCGGGGCTCTGGTCCTGGAGGTCCCGGGGCCGGAGAGCCATAGGAAGGCCGGGGACCTCGAGCAGCGCCATCGGGCGCTCTTCGGGGAAAGCGAGGTTCGCGTCGCCCGGCCGACCAAGATAGTCGGCCGGGCAACGCGAGGTCAGGGTCCGGGACCTCGAGAGATCGGTAGCACAGGCGGAGGTCGCTGGGACTATCGCCCGTTCGGGGGGGCTGCGAGCCGGGGGATGTAAGGGTCGGGGCCATAAGGCCGTCCCCATCCGGACTGGGGACGGCATGGGTCCGGCTAACGGCCTCGGCGGCCAGACGGCTGACGACCGCGGGAAGGCTCCTGGTCGGATGGACGGCCGTCCGGGTGGAGGCACTGGAGGCGAGACCTCTCCAGTGCTTCAGATGCCTGGAGAAGGGTCATGTGCGGGCGACGTGCCCGGGTCCCTAAGACCGGAGCGTGTTATGTTACGCCTTGCGGGAAGGCAAGGCACCTGGCGAGTGCGTGCCCTGCGGAGAAGCCCAGGTGCCCGGTCTGCAGACACCAAGGGAGGCCGGACGGTCACCGACTGGGGGCCAAGGGATGCTCCCCGCCTGTACGCAGGGCGCGGATGGGACCGAGGGGGGCGCCCCCCGGCCCCGAGGAGAACAGCACCACCACCGCGGAGAGGGAGGCTGCGGCTGAGGCGACCACAGCCACCGTGGGATACCTGGCGGAAGCCGGAGCCGCGGGAGGGGCTATGGAGATGTAGGCCCTCCCGCGGCGCGTCGTGTGGTGCAGGCGAACGGGGCCCACTCCCGCGGGTCGCAGGAACTTCTGGTCCACGCCCTCCGGGAGGTCGGTGCCGACGTAGCCATCGCGGCGGAGCCGCACTCGGTCCCCTCCCCAGCCCTGACTGGGTGGGGGGCGAGTGTGGCTCCATTGCTATCGAGAGGGGCGTGCGGCCCCGAGCCCCGCTCCACGTGCCTCTGACGCGGGGGGAGGGGTTCGTGGCCGCCGACTGGGACGGCGTGGCCCTGGTCGGAGTGTATGCCCGTCCGAGCTGCACCCTGGCCGAGCTGGAGGAGCAGCTGGATGCGGTGGGGAGATGCATAACCTCCCTGAACCCACCGCGTTCGCTGATGGGCCTGGGGGACTTCTACGCCCACGCTACGGCGTGGGGGTCCCCCAAGGCCACCGTGAGGGGACATGCCGTCCTCGATTGGGCAGCGGGGCTCGGCCTCCTGTTGATTGAGAGGGGGCCGAGGAGTACGTGCGT